TCTGCTCCTTTATCACCACAAAAAAAACCCAAACCAAAAAACTCATAAAAAGCAGAAGAGGCACTAACAGTCAAAACACCAAACAACTGCCAGCAGATCCTGATGCCGGAAATGAGTAGCTTTGATGGACTGTCCTCCCTGTACAGACAGCCTGGGTAAGCTGTAAAGAATTGAGGACACCTTCGTGAACCCCAGCACAAAGGACTGAAAGGTCAAAGTAGTAAATAATCTCACTTAACAGAATGCATTTGGCTTTATATTTCTAATATTACTTCCCAAGACAAAAGTTATTCTGAACACACAGGGTGACAAAATAGGAGTCCAATCTCTTGACAATTGCTCTGTCAGAGACCTGGAAATGAGAAATGATGCTCTGAGAAACCATTTGTCTTCCTAACTCTCCTTTAATCTCCTCCAGTCCAGTTTTTCTGGATGAGTTCCGAGTCTCCGTTCTTCTGCACGACACACACAAAACCAGGTATTTGGGAACCAGTGCGCCAACACAGTGCAGCCACAGTGAATGGCGAGTCTCTCCAAGGGGTGGGAGAGTTTTCTACATGCTCTGTATTAATTTCACCTGTTGAGATTATCCTACCCCACAGCCTAACCTACACACGTATATAGAAAACATCTCTATTAACTTCTATTAATATGCTCATAAGTGAATCCATCTTTTTCAACCTGAAAATGAATTAATCTTCCTATTCCACACAGCCCAATGTGTCATCCTCTTGGTGCATTTTCTGGTCAGTTAAATAAATAATACAAATGCACTTTTCAATCACTTATGCTAAAGGCCTAAAATTCCTAGCCTTATGTACACCAAGGGCAGAACTTTTTACATCAACTCTTATCCTGTTCTGAGTACAATAAACTCGAACGACACAAAATCCTACTACGTATTCTCAGAAAGCAAGCTACAACTCCTCAGGGCAAAACACCTGCACATTTGTATTTCCTCTTGTGTGACCTTGCATATACTTCCTCTTCCCCACTTCTGGTAATTAGTAACAGACCTGGGAGAGCAAGGAGGAAGGTGAAGACAGAAAAACAGGAATTCTGCCAACTTCTGATTTGAAAAAAAACATTCTCTTCTTAATTCTGGCAAAGTTTGCATCAGTTTACTTGCATTCTGCAGCTGTAGCTATCACCAACCTTGTTTATAAGGGAAAACTGTCAGAGTATGCAAAAGTAATTCCAAAGCTAAAAGGCAGGAACGCTTCAGTCTCTGTCTTCTGGATTTTCACGTCTGTTGGCAGTTTCTGTAATTGAAGCAGCAGATTCAAAACTCAGCGCCACAAAATATATAATGAGGGGTAACAGTACGGTAGTTTATTAGGTTAAAAGGAAACCTGCAACTATTTTGTTCAGCAAACATAGCCTGAAAGTAAAAATAATACCATAGGAACAAAAATAAATATGTATTGGTTTGTTTTTCTCCTTGAAAATAAACATCCAGGTGCATAGGAAACTGCATATTTCAGCTCATCAGGGAGCATGCAGGGGTCAACAAAGGGACTTTGGGCTCCTTCCTCTCTAACCAGTTCACAGGCTGATCTCCGAATTTTAATAGAGCCTAGGGAATATATGATTTTGTTCCTGTTCAGATAGGAAGAGAGCCAGTCATACGCAAAGCACTGCTGTAAGGACTGTAAGAAATAACACCAAAATGGCAGGCAGGCAGGCAGGCATCAGCACAACCGCAGCATCACCAGTGCAGAAGAAAAACTTGTATCTGTGTGATTACTTGTGGCAGAACCTATCAGCTTCAGGTCCAGAATCTGCCCCTGAAAATAAATATAAATTGGTCTGATTGTGAGGGAAGTACCCAGGGCAAACATTTTCAATTGCCTCTTTGAGCAAATTGAATTGTGCCTATTGGCAATATCTATCACCTAGAGAAAGGGATGCTTCTTTGCTCCAGACAAGACAGATGTGCAGTTTAAACCTCTCAGTCACCAAAATGTCCTTCCTACCTAGCTGCCAGGAAAACTAGTCAGCTTTGCATGAAGACCTGAGGATATGATGTTCTGTACAACCTCCCTGGTAGTTAAAACAACAAAATGCAGCTTCCACTTACAATTATGCTGAGTAGATAGCCAGGTTTTGCTTAACTTTACCTGCATGCCATTTCTGCTACCTAACTCCTCTTCAAATCCAAAATTGTGGAAATTTACTCACATTTTGGGCTCTTTGATGGTTATTTTTGGTTATTTTTCTGTTCATTGGAAAGGTATTTTTATCCTGTAGAGTCCGACTCCATCCTGAAGAGGAAAATATTATAAACAGATTATAAGCAGCATGCATTCAAATAAATTACATGTTTAAATGTGTCAGTTAAATTATAATGCTCAATTAGACAGCTAATTATGTTGAAAATGCAGTTGTGTGCATAAACTGATGGCCACTCCCCCAGCCTGCCTGGCTGCTTCCATTCACACATTGTCCCTTTCTGGGTTTTATCTTTCAAATATCACCCGGTGGAAGGTTTACATAAGTGCAGTCATACACTGCTCCACTGTTACTCCATTTAAAAAAATCATTTCAAATCCTATTCAGCATTCCCACTGAGCTGTGCTACCTGCCATCAGAACTTTAGGGCCAGTAGGGTGGGATGAGTGGGGCAGGTGCCCAGATTTGTAGGGGTCACGTTCCCTAAGGCCTTTCCCTCTGTCCGTGAAGTCTCATTTTCAATTACCCTCACCACATCATTTTAAAAGCATACAATCCATTTGTTTTTAATTTACGTGCACACATGAGTTTTACAATGACCTTTTGAGTTAACAAAGAAGCTGTGCATGAAACCATAACGGCAACATTTACGTCTATAAAGCATTGCATTGAAATGGCCACTGCGCTCATTAATACTAGATAGGACCTGGAAACCAAACAGGAGAGAGACTCTGCAAGAGTAAATGAATCAAAATTTGATTTAAGGATAATACCTGATATGACAAAACAGATCCACATATGCATTTGTGACATATACAAAGTCATTATGCAAGAGAGACCTTTTAAGATATATTGTCTCTGATTCACCCTTCATTTAATTTCTGTAAGTTTACTGTGTGTATTAGGATCATCCAAACGAACTGAAGCATTTACACAGCAAAATCCAAGCTCTCATAAAGGGTGACTTCTGTGAATAGCTAAATGACCTGTTTGGTGCTTCCATATGCTGTGCCATATCTCATTTCTTACGATATGAAAGGGATCATTAGTGAAGTTCATCGGGATCACTATGTTTGAAATTTCAGCAAAATAAAGACAGCATGAAACAACCAAACAGAAAAATCAGCTCCACTGCAGCATACCAGTAGCACTTCAGACAGCTCTGCTATTCAGTTCTCATGCTTAGATGACACAGAAAAAATTAATGCTGAAAAAACAAACAAACAAACAAAAAACCAAACACCATAAGCCTGACCATTTTCTTGTCGTTTGATATTTCTTCCAAATGGCCATGACTATACGTTACGTTTTAAGGCCTGAAAAAATTATGATAGTTTCTCCATGCTGTCAAGTCATGTACGCCAGAATTATTTGTAAAATTGTTCTCAGTCAGTCTGTATCTCACAATAATCCATGTAAGACCTGCCAGTAGAGGAAAAACCAACAAAAACAACCCTGTGACTGTAGGTCTCAGCATACGTGGCAGCAAAACCGAGCTTCTTGCAATATCAAAATCAACCTGGATAAGTACTGCAAATGACACATGAGCCATGGCCTTGACAATACAACAGACAAAAATGATCTATTGCACTCTGCCTTTTTTATTTATTACCTGCATGGCCATTCAAGAAGGAAAGCATTCATAATTATGCTCTCAGGCAGCTCCTCTGAAATACCTCTGAAATCAGGGGATTCCAGGGCATGTTTTTACGGCACGAACTAAAAATTATCAAATTGCACTTTGAAAATAAAAATGCTGCTTAAACCCTCTTCCAAAAATTTTTGTTGAAATCCACATATCGGTGTCTGACACGTCACTTCGAACCAGTAGCCGTGGCACAACAGACTATTGGAAATACACAGAAAGGAGGTTTGCACTTATCATTCAGCTCTAGGTCTCTGAGCAGCGCCGGCCTGCCAAGGCACAGAGTGACACTGAGAGGGGATACAAACTGCTTAAAGATTTTTAAAGGTTCTTATAACTGTCACTAAGCTCGGTGCTCCACAACAGATTGAAAAATGTGAGAGGCTTTCCAGCTGAAGTCACGTGGGTGTTAAAGAGGATTAACATGAACAGCCAACTAGCAATTGCCAATTTCTTTCTTTCTAGTTTTTTAATCCTCCTTTCTTTATATCTTGCAATAAAACATTTCTTGCCTCCTATTCTATATATTTTCCCCTCTTGGAATAATGCATAAAGGAAGCTGGAAGCCATTTAATAGATGCATCTAGCACAACGAAATTCTGCACTATAGACTCTGCGGATGCAGACTGTGCAGTAAATCGCACTCAAAGCAGAGAGTATTAAATCACAGAACTACTGGAACAACTCAGGGTCACAACTGCTCATTTACACAATTCAGCTGCTGTATGCTTATCTCTGCATTCCCTCCAGCCCCCAGTGCGTTTATCAACAAAACCTGTTCAGTCAGAAAAACACCTTTTGCTTTGCATCCAAAGCCACTTCAGACAGAAATAGAATTGAAATGTTTTGGATGAATCAAACCAAACTGCAGTCTTCACAGGGTAGAGCAATCATCACAGGGTGTCACCACCTCAGAAGGAGAAGGGATGTTGTGCCACCTCGTCCCAACAGCTGGGCTGCTTTCACCTACACCTACACCTTAGAAACATGAGTGACATCATGGCTTGGTCCAGCCCTGTAAACATCTTCCAAACACAGCATGGTGGAAAAAAGTGGGTCCAGAGTACTGTGGATAATACTGAGCCAACTGTATTCATCTTTTTCCTCTAGAAACATTTCTTTTGACCAACAAGTCCTTTCTGGTTACCTCATTAACTACTGTACATCAGATTAAGGCCACCCCTTCATTGAGTCTCCCAAGAAAGAGAGCTGCAACAGCCGCAGGCCCGAGGGTTCTTGATGCAGAAGAGTTGCATCTTGATGCATCTGAGTTGTCACTTGATTAATGGCCCCCACCATGAATTTGCACAAGCACTTTTCAGATATCCTTCCACTCTGGAGAAAAAAGGTATGTTCTTTATTGTTATCCGAAATTTTTCTTTTGTTTTAGACCATATGGTCAAGAAACAACCAACCAACCAACCAACCCCTCTACGTTCGTGCCTCTCCCCCAAAAAATCCCACAACCATTCTCCTTTTTAAATTCTTCCAGATTCACTTTAGAGTGAATTTTTCAAGGTTGTACCTTTCAACAACTTTAAGGAAATAGATTTAAAAAAAAAAAAAAAAAAAAACAATGAACCCTGATCTTCCTGATTTCTAACTCAGGATTATATTTTCCATTAAGGTTGTTGAATAGAATTCAGAAGAGCAATTTGGCATATACATGCACTAAAACATTTCAAGATTTCTCTTTTAAATTCCTTGGGAAGCAGTGGTCAGATTTAAATGCCAAGATGAGGAAGATAGATTTCCGAATGAGACCTCTGAGAGACAGGTTATAGTGAGTTTTAACTGTTATGCCTAGTGCTCTCCAGGTGGAAAAGAATCCAAACGGTAAAGCAGACCCCGGTTCTCTTACATTGTTCATTTAGGTCAGAAACCTTTGTAATGCTTAAATATTTTAAATTAATTCCCCTAGAAAAACATCCTATGATCTCTATTCACCTTTTTTTTGTAAAACTCTCTTGAAGTACAAAGTTGGCTGAGCCCATACAAGCTGCAGTGTGGAACAAGTGGAACATCAGTATGGTGAGAGATTGACTGCACCACTGGACTGATTCTTCAGTGCAGCACCTTCCCTTGTGTCCTTTTGCGAGTGAAAGAGATGGCCCAAAATGGGGGTAGTTTAGATGACAAAACAAATAAGCATGATAATTTTCCACCATATTTGCTTTCTTATAATTCATATAGTCTTCATTCAATTATCTTAAACCAGATAATCTACATACCAGTCTTCAACAAGGACAAAATACGCTTCAAGAGATACCTGTTAATAGTATTTAAGGCATTAACTGAATTCTATTCAGTCCTCTGAGAGGTCTTTAGCTCTTGCTTATTTGGGTAGAGGTTTCTAGATATAAGAAAGACAACTTCAGCAGAAGGCTTGATCATCTTTTAAAATACATATTCAATAGCAAATAGCAATTTCTTTAAAAAAGAAAACCACACAGATTCAAACACATTTTATGGATCACAATAATGTAAGGGAGAAAATCTGGCCGATCTTCATTCTAAAATAAACAGCATTTGTACACTGAAATTGCTAACTCCATTGTTAGCCCCAGCATATAGGTTATACGTGAAAAATAGAGAAGCCAAATTAAGAGGAAGAAATATACGTGTCCTCCTCATGTTCTCCTGAGGGGACACAGAGGAAGTTCCATAAGTACATTCTTGCATCCAGTTGTTGAAAGAAACGTGTGTTAGCTGCACCACCTCTGTCATGAGCCATCAAGAAAATGCGAACCCTATACTATAAACCACCTTCAGTGCAAAATTAATTCTACCAACTGGCAGTAGTAATCAGAAACACAGTAAATTCATGTATCACACCACACAAGAAAAAAGGAAGCAACTGTGCACATTTACTTTTTGCACAGCAGTGCAGAAAGCAATGCATAGCCAAGCCTATGTGATTTAACTACGCTTATTCCAGAATCTCATCCAATGACAATCACTGATCAACCTCAGCATCTAACCACAGAGACACTGACAGTACTGATCATTTTATTATTACATAGCTATCAAGTAATTTCTATTGCTTTAAAGAGAAAGCAGTCTACCCTCCTTTGCTTCTTGGGTGCAGTATACCCATTATCAATATGAAGTCTGTTCTTCCATACTTTTCATCATAATCTTATGCTTTTGATATCATTGTTTGCTGTGGAAATCATTACAGATTAGTGAATTATACATTTCAGATTGAGCTTTTTACTTAGGTTAGAATACGTCAAGTTTTCTAAAGTAGGCTTTGGTAATTTTTGCAAAATTTCCTCCCTTGTGAGTAATAAACAAGAGGGAATTTTTCACACTGCTTTTCCACCAAGAGAACAATTCATAGCCTCCAAATGACTGTGGACAACAGGTCCGGAGAATCCTGTTTTCACCATTAGCTTATATTCACACTTCCCCTTCCTCGTAGCTGATGTCACAGGTCTCACTGCTTATCCAGTGCCTCCTAAGCTTAGCTTTAATCTGATTGATAGCCATATTTCAGTGGGATTTAGGCTGTAAGCTCTTCAATGCATGCTTTAGGTCTTTAATTTACACACGGACACCCACCTACACAACAGAAATGCCTCAGACTGCTTGAACAGGGACAGGCAAGGGCATCTTCTCATCTGGGATATTCATGCTTCTGTGGCTGCTCTGGTTCCACCATGCACCCCAGTTCATTTTAGGCAGGCACCTCTCCAGTCTGCAGTATAAACACATCAACAGACTCAATCCACTCCCGAAACTCAGCTGGATCCATCACAATGGAAATAAACTCACATGGTACAACATGCTTCTTCTAGTTATATTGTTAGACCAGAACCAGCCTTCCTCTTAGTGTATGAAGCTGAAAAAGAATGTCTTCACTTAGGCAGAACTGTTGCGTTCAGTTGCAGGGAGACGAATGACCACCAAAACACTTGCTGGTCTCTGCTTCTTCTCCAAATATTGTTAGATGTGCAAAACTTACTCTTTAGACTGTTGTAATTCCTGTACTTATTGCAGGACACTGTACAACAAGGTTTTCCATCACAACTACATCAGCTGGCATTGGAAGGCAGAATAAATCACTGTCAGCCCAAACAAAGATAGCAAAATCTCTGGATTCACTAACAGCTGAGTAGTTTTGCAAGCTTAGCTTATGTCATTTGTCATTTTTGGTACAATGCAAACACTCTGCACCTCTGCTAGGCAGCTCCTCCACCTTGACTATGTTAACACCGTGACATATGCTAGTGTACGTTACCATAGCTATTCCAGTGCTGGCAAGGTCAACAGGAACGTTCAGCATCTCCAACATTTCTTTTCATTTGTATCTTTTCCAGGGGGAACAGAAACCCTGCCTGGAGAAGGTGGATTCATTACAATATTTCTCTTTTCTTCTTTCAGGATGGGTCATCAGAGACAGACGGAGGTTAGCCTGGGCTCATAAAAAGATACAGAACATGCAGAGCGTGCTGCAAGAACTGTCTCATATTCACCCCTTGCCCTGTTCTAAGTTAATATGAAAACTATGCATGATTAATCTTTTAAAAATTGGAAAAGATGATGCCTAAGGCATCTCTAATCAACTTGCTTGGCGAAGTACATACAGTTCTGCTGTAGTTCTGCACAGCAAATAAGCTACATAGAATTTTAATACAGCAATTACCGCCTGCCACTTCAAGATAATGATTACTTACCAACCCATTTAAGATGCTTGTGTATGTGCATCAGTAAGAGGGATAAATTATGGGCTCCTTCAGCTGAGGAGGCAGCAGACGGGTTTTTACTAGACAGACTACCCCATAGCACTCCAGCAGGGTAAAAGAAGCCATCTAGGTGAGGCAAATTTACAGCAGAGTGTATTTGCTACTATGCCCCTCTGCAATGCTCCATGGTCAAATTCTGGCAGCATCATAAAAACAACAGACAGGACCACCCATCCAAGTTACAGCCCCCAGCATTAAAGTAAAGCCAGTAGTACACCAAATATCCCTGCACAGGCACATTTGGGAGCAGAAAAAAACACTGACAAATGAGGAAACAGCATTAGGAAAAATGACAAAGAGGGTTGTGAATACACTCCTGTTCCAAAAGGAACTTAAAAAAAAAAAAAAAAAAAAGAAGCATAATTTTCCACTCCCTTGCCCCTTGCTTGTCTCTCTGACCTGTTCCTGAGCTTCTCTGCTTTTCAGACACATCCATATAATCCTTCTGGGCCATAAAAGGCTCTCACAACAAAAGGTGGTGTAGTTCCTCTGCTTATCTAGCATTACACAGCCCAGCTTTAAACCAAGTGCAGCCAGATGGAGAGTCAGAGGTCACTGGTTATTTTTAAGCTCCATCTATCTAGGAAAAGCTTTTTCCATGGATGTTAACTATCAGCTAAGTAACTGTGTGTACTCTAGTGCATGTCCAGATAATATTGTGCTAGATCCAAGCTACAACAAGCTTCTCTCTAGCAACACAAGAGTAATACTATGTGCTATGATGATACAGCAATGGACAAAATTTTGCAAAATCTTGGTTAAGGCAGAAAAATGCAAGAAGCTGCCCCTGGAGAGCAAAAATATATATTATTGCCCATGTAAGTATGGCTGTGTGCAATTTGCTCATACTTGGGACTAGCAGACCCTGGAAACATAAAAAGAAACACATAAGAAATAAGTTATTACTGCCCCCACCCATTGAAGCAGTCAGCTTTCAAAAACAGCCCAGCTTTGTAATGAGTTTCACAACAGTGTGTAGAGTTATTCAGAAATACAAGAGGTGATGATGAGAAGCACTGTAACGCATCAGACAATTGTGGAAGTTCTCACCACAGAGGATAGATGCTGAGATAAATTTCCTGTCATTAGTCTTCTCCGATTTTTGATTTTAGAGAAGGAACCCAATGTGTGCACAAAATTTTACCAAGATGATTGATTCTTGGTATTGTATATAACATATTGTATATATATATATATATATATATATATATATATACACATTTCACACTCCTTAAGATTAGTGGGATAATAACCATTCTGCCAAAAGATACCATGAAAACGCTCACAGAAGAATTTTCACTGGAAATCTGAGCATGAGATTTCTTTTCCTCCTCTAGACAACTCCAAGAGATCTGTAAAAGAGGAACAGATTCCGGTTTTTAAAGTTTGTTAGGAAAGTTTCACATTCAATGCACAAATGTAAATTCAGTAATAAATTAGTAGATAAATCGAAAGTTGTACTAGAGATTAAATACTGAAAGGCAGCACTTTTTCAGGCAGAAGACCTGTGAGTTACAAAATAGTGGAATTTTAGAAACAGTAATGTCTTTTGCTTTGTTTATCAGCAAAGCAGGAAACGGAGCAGAACAGAAAACGGGCTGATGCTCGGAAGTAGTAAGAATTATGAGGGAAAAATAATAAAGTCGTGGTAATACTGAAGTACAGGGCAATACCATTCCAGAAAAAAGCTGGCTCTACCTAAAGGTCATCTGTGAACAGAAACCTCTCATGAATTAGTACAGTTGCAACATCTCTGTATAAAATTACAGAGAAACTGCGTGGTTACTGAGGCAGTGCCACAGTGAGCCCTCATCGCACCGAAGAGGTCAGAGGAATAGTGTTCAATAACACATTTTAGAATACCCTTCCCGAGCATTTCCTGAGAAGACACATTTTACTACATTTCATAGCTTTACAAAGATCTGGAGCTCCACTCTCTTCGACATGTAATGGTGTGATTCACAATCACACATTTCCCAGCTCTTAGCTTTGCACTTTCTGTGGTTCTAGTTCTTCCTAAAGTTCTGCCTTCACCAACCCATGGCTCTTGGAGTGTAGCACCATTACACCTGAAGTCAGCACCAAGCATCCCTGACTTCACAGGAGCTGTACAGGATCCAAGACAACAGTGCTACACAGGCAGCAAGGAGCCCTCAGTTAACAAACCTGTTCACAGCTTTGACCACACAACACAGCTTCCTGATTGTGTCACTTGCAGGATTTTATTTTAGAAGAGGACTTCTACTTCATTTTCCCCCTAAGACAGCACATGTGAGTCTGAATATCTAACAGAAAATGAGACAATTCTAGCATCTTATTGCTCACGTTTCTACAGAACAACCTTGAGGAACAGATCCTCCACTTAAAACTTGGCTCATCCTATGTTTAAAGTCTACTCCAACAACAACACATAAAACAGGCCAGCAGACAGCCTTTGCCACCAAGTCTACGGTTTAATGAATAGCTTCTGCATCATTCCTCTGCTGAAAACTCTATATAAGGGAATGTGGGAGGTGGACGTTTTGTAAACATACCATGATATGTGCCCGCATTTCTCACTCCCCTGACAGCTGCCTCATACTTAGGTCTTCTTTCTGGAAATTGCATATCATTGCATGTCAGGTCAGAAAGATTTCAGAGGAAGTATTTCTACCTGCTCTGACTTTGCTGTTAGCAGTTTGTCCATCATGGACTCGAGTACATTTAAAATCAAAATGAAGATGTTACTGAATCACTTACAATGCTTTTAATGTTTTTTTCCTTCAGTTTTAAGTGCACTTCACATTCCTTAAGATTAATATTTTCTTTTTCATTGAAACATCTTCACCTATTCAGAGTATAACACGAGGAAATCTTGGGCACGTTAAATTATCAGGGCCACAATCCCAGTTCTTGATCTTTGATGACTTACAATTGTCTCCCTAAATCTAGGGGTATAAAAAAGAGGAATAAAATAACACCAGAACAGAATACAAAGAGGATCAGCATGGGCGGCAACTGGAGTTGGAACATGCAGCAGCTGTAAACTTGTGACAACTACATTAAAGAAATACACGGAAACACCCATTGAAAGGGAATCTTCAAGCACATACAAAGAGCAGAGCAAAATGCTAAGCTGTGCAGTGACTTTGGTGCTATGGCAGGCAATGCCACTGCTAGGACTTTTGCTAACGCACAACCATTGCAGCAAGGACATGACAATAACATGTAGTTCTAATCCCATTTCTGATGAACAGCTTTTGACAATTAAACTTTTAATGCACTCTGAATTTTTCAGCAGTTATTTTTTGTGTGTGTGTGTTTACACTGATATCAAGCAATGCTGGCAGCAGTGCTTCTACCTGTAGGACAACAGAGGATCACAAAGCCACCTGCATTCTGCTTTAATGTAGTGCTAAGACCAGTGTTAGATAGGTGACAGCAGAAGCAGCTTCATCAGAACAAAATGACTATAGCATGTGATTTCTTTTACAATATATTTTACCATTTATATTGCATATTAGTAACCTTCAGCAAAGTGTGAGGTATCACTGAAAACTGTACGCTGGCCAAAATAGAGCCAGTCTCTAACTCCACTGATAAGCTTCTAAAATTGCCATACAATCACACAATCACTTGTACTGGAAGGGACCCGTAACAGTCATCTAGACCAACTGCCCTGCAATGAACAGGGACACCTACAGCTGATCAGGCTGCTCAGAGCCCTGTCCAGTCTGACCTAGAATGTCTCCAGGGATGGGACTTCCACTACACCTCTGGCCGACCCATTCCAGTGCCTCACGACCCTTACGGTAAAAAACTTCTTCCTTAAATCCAGTCTACATCTCTCCTCTTTTAGTTTGAAACCATTTTCATTTGTACTTTTACAGTGAACCCCGCTAAAGAGTGTCCCCTTCTTCCTTACAGCCCCTTTTAGATACTGAAAGGTCATTATCAGGTCTTCCTGGAGCCTTCTCTTCTTCAGGCTGAACAGCTCCAGCTCTCTCAGTCCATCCTTGTGGGGAAGGTGTTCCATCTGTTGGATCTTGTTAAAGTTATATTATTATTCCAATAACATAACAGGAGGGTGGGTATTAAGTCATCATTCAAGTTTGCAGTTGCACCTCTGTCGTAACGTTTCTTTCTCAGCAGTGACACAAGGGCAAAATGGTGCCACTCAAATTCAATAGGAAAAGATGGAAAAAATCCAAATATTCCCAAATGCACAAAAACAGAGGAGTTTGTACAAGTCTAAATTTCAGTAACAGGCTTATAATAGAAGACAAAACTAAATGTAGCTTTACACCAGTAAAATATACTGCATAAACACAACAAAATCCCTGTGGAGAACAAGAGAAATAGGCTGTTCCTAAAACAAAGGTCTCTCACTGGTCTAAATGAATGTGCTAGTCTCATACCTGCAGAAAAATAAACCCCACAACTTCTATGTATATTCACTGGAGGGTTGACTTAACAAATGAATCCCCTAGAGTTTTCACAATGCCCAGAGATGGTAATTTGGGCTCAGCAAGACTCCTCTTCTTGCAGCAGAAAGGAAAGCCTACTGAAGATGAACAAGTAGGTAGGCCTTCTTTCATTTTGCAAGGTCACAAGCATGCTGATTACAGCACGGGAGCAATTTTTGAAGAAATATTGCCTGCACACCTGAGGGATGCGGTGAGTAGTGAGCTGACCTTCCAAGCATTTCCCCAACCTCTGCAGAGTTTCCAATAGTATCTCTTTGCTGTTACAGAGGCAGGTTTTCTTAACGTAAAGATAAAAGAAAGGATGGTACCTTACTGAGAGAGAAAACTGAAGCTGTCCACCATGTAAATGAATGACCTCAGTCCACCACGTTTTAGCAGCATTTCCCCATCCCAAAGCCGCTTCCTAACATGATTCCAAAAGGCATGCCACAGGCACTACATAAACCAGCTGGTTTTTCAAAGACAGTTACGATCAATACAGACCTCGTAGCAGCTTTACAAAATCAGTTGTGCCAGCGCCAGCACCCCAATTAAATTTCTGCTCAGGTAATTGCAACACAATGAGCAGCCTCTTGTGAGTCCCAGCCACCCACCTTTCTGGTTCTCCATTTCATCTACAAAACCACTCAGTGCAGTCGAGCACTCTTCAGAGACTATTGCATTTCAGCGGTGGGCAAAGGTAACTTTGTGAAGCTCAGTCTTACCATACGCTGTGGAGGTCTCAGCAAGTTGAAGTTAGCACACAAATATGATATTTTCTTTCTGAAGGCATTGTAAACACTTGAAGAGATTATTTTAACTTCAGACAGTCCTGGGGAGAACTTTTCTCTTTCGAAATTCAAAACTTTCCAATAAGAAAAGCAAATTCCCAACAAGATAATTACCATCAATTTTTACTGTACACTTTTCACAATATTGCGTATCTTATTTTACAGATAGCCTTTTTTCAGGCTTCAGACAGGAGAGGTCATGAGCTCCTAGAACATCCCAGTTCCAGTGGGCTCCACAGATTGTTTGTGTCTGAGCATGAAAGGTCCATAAAGTGAAAAGGTTCAATTGTTGCATCTAAATCCAGACTCAGTTGTTATTCTGCAGCTGTTTTCTTTAAACCTGTTTTCTTTACTGTATATTTGTTTTAGCCTACAAAGGAGGCAAGAGTCCTTTCTTTTGGAGTTATTCTCTAGAAGTAAATCCATGGTAACCTGTGTGGACATAGGTCTGATGCAAAATCAGAGTTAAGTACAACATCAGGATTCATTGTCCTGGGGGTAACATTTACGACAGCAGTTAAATATGACACATTTTAATTAAAATGCAAAATGCTAGGATGGATATTTTTTTTCTTTTTATAGTTTTGTGGCCAGGCTGCTCTGTAGTAATTTAGGAGTCATCTTATTATTATGATCTTCATCATAATTATTTTTCTTTGTTTAATGTTCAAACAAAGTTTCATTTCCATCTTCCACTTCATTTTACAGATTTTGATCTTACCAGCAGCCTGGAGAGCTTTGCTTAATTCTTCTACATGTTAGGACCAAAGAAGAGAACTAATTAAAAGGAAAATCTGCTAAGTACAAAGAAGGTTCTAAAGAGAAAAAAAATATATAAAAGAGAAGTACAACAACAATTGCCAATAAATGAATACCTAATCAACAAGCAGAACTGTTGAGGTATTACTCCAAGCAGTTATTCTCCTAAGGAATTTTACTTTTCCTCACTATGCCTGGAAACAAATTTCTGACCATATTTTCACGAGGTTATAACGCATCCAGTTTTCCTACCACAGTGTGCATTACAGAAGTCCCAACTGTTAGAACTTGTCTGAAACGAGGAGTTACTAATGTCACAGATATCACTTTTTCCCTCACTTTCACTGAAAAATCTCG